CTAGCCCCACCTCTTTTCCCTGCCTATGCAGGGGGTCGGACTCGATGATCTATTGAGGTCCCTTCCGACCCGAGCATCTATGAATCTACGAGTCCCTTGAAGAGGAGGAAGGTGGCGTGGGGGCTTCCCGGGGGCGCTGGGCTCTGGTTCTGCAATGCCCCTTTGCTCCGGACTTCAGGCCGCGCTTGCTCTCCTGTGCAGTTACATGGGCACGTGGTGGTGGCTGAGGCAGTGCCCCTGCCATGTCCTCGCGTCTGTGCCAGTGCTGCACCCCCCCGGGCCAGACGGCTGGTGCAGGAGGGGGCGAGCCCCGGGAACGAGGGCAGAGGCCCTGGCTCTGTGGGCGGGAGGACGGGGGGGACCTTTGGCTTTAGACGCAGGTGCCGTCCCTGCTCCTCGTGACATGCGTCTGGAAGGGCCCAGCCCAGCTCCGCCTGGGTCGGCCTGTGTGGGCAGGAGTCCAGAGTCCCTTAGGATCGTAGACAAGGAGGGCTGGAAGGGACCTGGGGAGGTCACATCACGTCCAACCCCCTGCTCCAAGCAGGACCAGCCCCAACTCCATCATCCCAGCCAGGGCTTTGTCTTCCTGGGGCTTAAACACCTCCAAGGATGGAGAGTCCACCACCTCCCTGGGTAACCTGTCCCAGTGCTTCACCACCCTCCTAGGGAGAAAGTTTTTCCTAATATCCATCCTCAACTTCCCTTGCTGCAGCCTGAGCCCATTGCTCCTTGTCCTGTATCTGCCCCCACTGAGACCAGCCCAGCTCCATCCTCTCTGCAGCCCCCCGGCAGGGAGGTGAAGGCTGCTATTCAATCCCCCTCGGTCTTCTCTTCTGCAGACTCAATCAGCCCAGGTCCCTTGGCCTCTCCTCACCAGCCCTGTCCCCCAGCCCCATTTTCATTGCCCTCCACTGGACTCTCTCCAATGTGTCCACATCCTTTCTGTAGGGCAGGGGGGAGGGGGGACATGCACAGCTGGACACAGGACTCCAGATGTGGCCTCCCCAGGGCTGAATAGCGGGGAAGAATCGCTGCCCTCGACCCGCCAGCACCGCTCCTGCTCACACCGCCCAGGATGCCGTTGGCCTTCTTGGCACCCAGGGCATCCTGTTGGCTCATCTTTAGTGTCCGGCCCTGGGCCGGTGGAAGGCAGGACTGCGCTGCCCGGCCTCGTCACAGTTAATAGCTCTCTGATGGCTTTGTTTGTGCCGTGGCTTTGCTGCCAGGACACCTGCTGTTTTGTCACGCCCATGCCTGGATTTTCCTGTGGTTGCTCCCGCTCCCGCACTGCAATCGGGTGTAGTGGGAATCTCGCCGAGCGCCCACGACGCGGGTGCCGGCTTCAGGGCACCGTGGGAGTCGCTGGGGTTTAGCTGCCAGCCCGACTGGGCTGAGCCCTGGCTGCTGGGGCCGCGTGAGCCGACCCCCGGCAGCATGTCCGGCAGTCGCAGAGAGGAGGGGGTGCCAGCGGCTTGTCCCCACCGCCCGGGTGCCTGGAGCCCCCGTTTCATGCCATGGCCGGTGTCCCCCATTCCCCTTCCCCCATAGCAGGGTCTTCATCCTCCCCTTTCCCAGAGGCCTGCATCTGCCCCGTGCGCTCAGCCCCACATCTGCCCCGACATGCTGGGCTCCCCTGTTCCCCCCCGCGGGAGCGCCATTAACCCCCATGTCCCCTTCCCCTCTGTGGCCTGCTCTTGTCCCCCACGCCAGGCTCTGCTGTTCCCCTCGGGCCGGGGGTCCTGCATGCCCCGTGGCCCCGGTCCCCTGCTCTGCGCCTGCCCCGTGGACCCGGGAAGGCAGGCCGGGTGGTGCCACTCGTCACCACCGCAACCTTTGCCCGGGCAGGAGCAGCTGCTGCGCTGAGTCACGGCAAGGGACGCCCCGGACTCTGCCTTCTTGTTTGCTGACACTGATAGCAAAGCCGCCCCAAAGCCCGCTGGTCCCAGCTGCACCGGGGACCCTGGCGAGCTGGGCATCGCGACAGCCCCGGGCAGGCCCTGGAAGGGGCAGCAGGGACGGGGCCGTCCCAGTCAAGCTGGTGCAGAAGCAGCACATGCTGCGCTCTCCGAACAGGGCAGGGATCCCCGCACAAGAGCCCTGAGCCCCGGGGATGCCGGCTGAACTCGGCCCCTGCGGCTCTATCCAAATGAAGCTCCCTCCTGGCCCAGCCCGGCGAGACCAGCCCTGTCTTGCGAAACCTGCAGGAAACGGATGTGCCGCGCGCGCGCCGCCTGCCTGCAGATGCCGCCTGGCAGAAGCTCACGTGCCGCAGGGATCTGAACACGGAGCAGGGATTTGGGTGCTTGGAGGCACTCGGTGCTGGAGGGGAAGGGCCTGGGTTATTTAAGGGCTTGGGTGAACCTGCCCCCACCCTCAGGACTGGAACAGGGCGCGGCAGACGTGCATGCGGGCCAGGCCCCGGGAGGTGGGACACAGTCAGGCCCCAGGGTCCCGGCAGCGTGGCCGGGGCGGGGGTCGCGCCGCAGGATGCCCGTTCTGTGCCGCACGGCAGTGCCCGAGGGCCAGGCCAGGCCGGCTGGGGCAGTGCAGCCACCGCCCCGGCGCCCCCAGGGACGACGGCACCGTGGGGCTGCAGAGCTGCCGGTGCTTGGCCCGGGACTGGCCCGTGCAGCCTCCGGGCCAGGGAGCGCCTGGGGCAGGGGAGAGAGCCCTGGCAGCCGCTCAGCTGCAGCTGGGAGCAGGTGGCTCCGGTCCAAGCCCTGAGAAGGGGCAAGAATCGAGGTCTCGCGAGCCCCTGCCCTGGTGCTGTATCGCGGCGCCGCGTGCACGGAGCCAGGGCCCGGCTGGGCTGCACCTCCCAGGGGCCGCGGCCATGTTTCGGACACCTGGTTCTGAGCACACTTTTCTGCCCGTGACGGCCGGCTTGGTCGCAAGGCAAAGGAAGCAATCAGCCGGTCACGCTACACCAGTAATGAGAGCCAATTAGCAGAGTAGGAGGCTGCAAATTAGACAGTCCAGGGAGGCCACATCATAGCTTTGGCTTGATTAGTGTCACCAGCTGCATTAGCTGCTCTGTAACGTGCATTTTTCTCATTAAGAGTCTTGAGTCCGTTCTTAATGCAAGGAAGGCGGCCGCGGCGCCACACGCGCACGTACGGGAGAGCGAGGCCGGCGCTGAAC